TAATCAGCAGCACTCCCAGTTGAGTAACATCGCAGGAATTCCCCTGGCTTACTTGGGTACAAAGATCCCCTTTCTCTACTTCATTGTAGTGTTCTTTTGAACCTTTAACTCATTCATCTGTTTATGTTTCTAATGCCGTATGGAACAAGTTATGTTAGTAAATTGGCTTCATTCTAAATCTACTATTCTCTTCATGTGCCACAAATCTATAAAAGTTAAACGATGGTTCTATGCTATGACTGGTGCAGTGGATTGAAAAAATAAGAAATGACAAGTCAGCATTGGTAAAATTATAAACCAATCATAATTTAAAGAAAACACTAAAATTATTTAGTAGAGAATCTATATCTAAGATGTAATAACAAAATTTCTTTCAAATATCCTAGTAGAGCTAAAGTTACTGTTCATATCGATATTAAAAAGGAAACTATCGTAAATGCAAGTCTTAAACAAATAATCTGATATCTCAGTCAATTCTTTGATCTTTCAAGCAGAGGGAGCGAATGCCTATTATGGGCTCGACAGTGTCTTGCTCTCATAGTATCATCAGAACTGCTGGGTGGGGGTACAGTGTGGCTTCCCAAACAGTCCCATCCTCTAATGAGCTAAGGTTTATTGCATTGACATCGCCATTCCAAAGTCAGCTACAGCTACTACTCTTATCAATATCACTCAGGTTTGCTTCCCACTCACAGTTTGTAATTTGTCCATCACTAACTACACATTTCCCCACTTTTCAAGTAAATTGAGGATACCGTCCCAATAGAATTTTTCTTGTTTTGAGGTAAACCATTCAGAGACCCAATTTTCCACTTCCTTGTATGTTTTGAAGTGCTGTTCAGAAAGTGTATGTGCCATGATCAGAACAAGTGGTAAACTGAACGAGCAAGGTCTGGTGAACACAGCGGGTGAATTAATACTTCCCTGGCAAGATCTTTTAACGTGACTTTAAATGGTTTTGAAGCGTGTGATGGAGCAAAATTCTTTGCCGTGTATTTGCAACATTCTGGTCGTTTCATGATCAAAGCATGGTTCAGATTATTTATTGTCGGTAGTGATCAGTACTAACGTTTTAGAAGTTCATAATACACCACACCTTCCTGATTCTATCAAATGCAGAGCTTTGTCTTCTTTCCGAAGCAATTCAAAGTTCATACTCTCTGTTCCACGCTGACTCCCAAAACAGTTTTTTTTTTAATATCCCTCAATTTTTCTATTTTATTATTATTTTTTTAATCCTCATTCGAGGATATTTGTTCCATTGATTTTTAGAGAGAGTGGAAGAGAGAAGGAGAGACAGAGAAATATTGATGTGAAAGAAACCATCGATTGGTTGCCTCCTGCACGAGCCCTGACCAGGGCCTGGGCCGGAGAGAAACCTGCAACTGCAGTACATGCCCTCAACTGGAATCGAATCGGGACCCTTCAGTCCCCAGTCTGACACTCTATCCACTGAGTCAATCGAGTAGGGCAAATTTTCTATTTTAAGTTAAAAGATCATTCCTTTACACATCTTCCAACCTGGCTCAACTCTATACTATATGCTGGCACCACAATCGCTCAAGGAAACTTTATCTCAGAAGCTCCACTTTGATGTCAGCGGCACCTATCCAGCCCTTGGACCAGCATACAGGAGACACAATGCAAACAGTGGAAGGATGAGATGACACTAATGAGAATATCTTCAGTCTACTGACAGTTCACCTTTTTGGGGTGGCTCCCAACCCCAGCCAAACTTCACCAACCTTGCCAAAATGGTTAGTATAAATCAAGCAAGCTTTAAATATATCTCTTCCTTCTGCCTTTTTTAAAAGGAAACAAATTATTGTTTAAAACAATGTTAAGTGTCATAAACAGATCAGTTAAGAGAAATGATTAATGAAAAGAAATAACACTTAGCTTCAATGAAACCTATCAGGTATGTCATAACTAGAGCACACCTTCTTGTAAAGTAAGCACACTTCTCAGAACATGTGTCTAGGGTTTCTGTACTTCTAATATTTCTGAGTGAAACCTTGAGAGAAAAACTGTTGCCAAGTTGTCTGTCTTCTAGTCAATAAAATGAACTCTAAACTTAGAATTCTGTAAACCAAGAATGTTTTGTATCTTCTGGCAATCTATCTACACTAATAAAAGAGAAACATGGAATTACCGTCACTCCACTACGCTACCAGCCAATCAGAGTATGCATGGCGGCAGCCCCGCCCCCCACTGCTCTAGGCCTGTGGGGGTGGGAAGTCAGGTACCAGCGCCTGAGGCTGGCTGCAACCTGGGAGAGGAAGAAGCCACCTGCCCCATGATCCCAGGCTGCAGCCAACAGCAGAAGCCTCACATCTGCCTTCCCCACGTCCTGGGGGAAACAGAGAAACTAGGCCCCAGTGCCTGAGGAGCCTGGGAGACAAAAAAGCCGCCTGCCTCATGATCATAGGCCGCAGCCAGCTAGAGAATTCGCCCACACTGCATCCAGGGAAGACAGAGAAGCCACCCATCTGTGGTCCAGGTGGCAGTTCCTACAGCTGGATACAGCATGGTAGAGGAGAAGCCACCCACCTCACAGTCCTGGGCACTAGTACCTGCGACTGGCTGTGGCCTGGGAGACAAAGAAGTTTTCCACCAAGCAGTCCCGGGCACCAGCACTTGTGGCTGCAGCCCAGGCAAAGCCACCTTCAAACCATCCCCTGCAGCTGCAGCCAGCCTGGCACCTATGGCTGACCAGAGGGAGGGAAGGAAGCCTGGATCCCGGGTGCCTGTGGTTGGCTGGAGGAGGGAATCCTGGGCCCTGGGTGCAGGGCTGAGGCAGAGGTGGTTAGGGACATTCAAGCCAGCAGGAGAGCAGTTAGAGACAATCAGGCTGGCAGGCAGAAGTTAGAGGCAATCAGGCAGGCAGGTGAGCGGTTAGGAGCCAGCAGTTCTAGATTGTGAGAGGGATGTCCGACTGGCGGTTATCCCCTGAGGGGTCCCAGATTGAAGAGGGTGCAGGCCAGGCTGAGGGACACCCTTCCCCTCCCCGACCCTGTGCACGAATTTCATGCACCGGGCCACTAGTCCTATATAACGAGAGGAATATACTGCCGAGACCGGTTTAGCTTAGTGGATAGAGCATCGGCCTGCGGAATGAAAGGTCCCAGTTTCGATTCCGGTCAAGGGCATGTACCTTGGTTGTGGGCACATCCCCAGTAGGGGGTGTGCAAGAGGCAGCTGATCAATGATTCTCTCTCATCAATGTTTCTAGCTCTTGTCCCACTCTATTCCTCTCTATAAAAAAATCAATAAAATATATTTAAAAAAAGAGGAATATGCTAATTAGCCAGGACGCCCTCATGGGTAACATTCCGCCGGAGCAGTGGGAGGCTGCGTCAAATAAAAAATAATCCATTCACACGCCCAGAGACAACAGGGCTCAAGGTGAAGGGTTCCAGTTTCATTTCTCACACCCATTACTAAAAGAGTAATATGCCAATTAGACTGGGAAGCCTTCCAGGAGACCTTCCATACATTCTTCTGGACAAAACCATGGTGGCGGGTCGAGGTAGAGGTGGTTAGGGGGCAAAAGGGAAAGGCAGTTGTGGGTGATCAGGCCAGGATGGGATGGCAGTTGTGAGTGATCAGATCGGTGGGGAGGGGGGGCAGCTGGGGGTGAGCAGGAAAGCAGGAGGGGCCAGTTGGGAGCAAGCAAGCTGTCAGTGGGGGGTCAGTTGGGGGTGATCAGGCCAGTGGGGGGGAGGGCAGGTGGGGGGCGAGCAGACCAGTGGGGGGGGGGCAGTTTGGGGCAAGCTGGGTGATGGTGGGGCAGTTGGGGGTGATCAGGCTGGTGGGGGGGGGGCAATTGGAGGTGAGCAGGCTGGTGGGAGGGCAGGTGGGGGTGAGCAGACCAGTAAGGGGGGCAGTTGGGGACGAGCAGGCCAGCAGGCAGAGTGCTTGGGGACAATCAGGCAGCGGTTAGAAGCCAGCAGTCCTATATTGTGAGAGGGATCTCAGATTGGAAAGGGTGCAGGCCGGACTGAGGGACAACCCCAACCAGCCTCCCCACCCCCCGTGCATGAATTTCGTGCACCAGGCCACTAGTAAATATATAAAGTTACATATAATCACAATACCACAAAGTTAACATCACTATTTAAACGTAAAAGTTCTTATTGTAAAATGGAACTTCAACATAATCTTATATAATAAAGAGCTAATATGCAAACTGTCATCACGCTCTTATGTCTTAAAGGCTCAGACACACTAACACTGGGGAGAGAAAAATAGGGACCAGCCAGGCACAAATGAGCTCACAAGAGAGGAATGGGGACCAGCCAGGCTGTGTGGCCCAGGAGAGGGAAAAGCTGCCCACCCGGTGGTCACAGGCATCAGAGACTGCGCCTGCAGCCCAGGAAAGAGATGAGCCGCCTGCCTTGTAAACCCAGGCACCTATGGCTGTGGCCCAGGCGAAGCCGCCCACCATAGTCCCCTGTGGTTGCAGCTGACCCGGGGGAAGCTAGCCCGGATCCTGGGTGCCTACTACTGGCCAGAGGAGGGAATCCTGGGTCCTGGGTGCAGGGTGAGGCAGAGGTGGTTAGGGGAGATCAGGCCAGCAGGGGAGCAGTTAGGATCCAGTGGTCCCGAATCACAAGAGGCAGTCAGACATGCCCTGAGGGATCCCAGATTGGACAGGCTGCAGGCCGAGCTGAGGGGAATCGTTGCTCCCCTTTCCTCCCCACAAGCCTCTAGCTTTTAATATATTGTAATTGCTTCATTCCATTTCCTACATTCAGGTACTAAATTATAAAGTTAAATTTTGAAACCAATACATTTTATCTACTAAATTGATTTCAATCCACAACATTTAAAACAAATCATGTTTCTAAACACAGATTACCAAGTAATTTGCACATAAAAGCAAAAATTTTAACAACTAGCACTCATTTAAAATTACTACTTGTCATGAGAAATATCTCAAAGGCACAGTAAATTTCCTTGTGAACAAGAGACACCATTAATTCAGAATGGCCACTTACCACTTCTTCCAAAGCAGCACTACGCCCAAAAGAACAAGTGAGGTGTGTGAGGCAGTTCACAAAGGACGAGAAAAGCTCACTTGGAATGGCAGTTAAAACGTTTCGAGGGAACACAGTTATCAGGTTGCTGATAATGCTGGAGATCCCCACAGCTTCAGAATCTTCTATTTCAATTCTACAAACCAGGTAACAAATGTTACTAGTGATGGAAGACAAGTTACAATAACTCATTTCCAAACATGCAAAAATTTTCACCTATTCATTTTTAAAAGGCATGTCTCTGTATTAATTTCAAATTACCATATAATTCAAAACATACAAAGTGGGGAAAAATCACTAGTTTTTGTTCTATCACTGTTAAACATATAAACAAACCATTAAAGTTCTTTTTTTGGTGACAAAGGGCAAGTATACCTACCCATTGATAGTACTCAGTAAACCCTCAATGAAGTGTGCTAGGTAGTCAACCTGTGCTCCTTCATCGGGGAAGACAGGTCCATGCAAAGAAGCTAACTGGGCGAGACACTGCAGAGAATCTTGTGCCATATCCGAATCTTCTCTGATTTTTCGATGTACCTGTTAGAAAGAATTACTAATTAATAAAAATAAATTCTTCTGTTGTAAGGGTCACATTACTACCATGCTGAATGAGGTAAGTGAAAACATCATAATAGCTGGTTATTTCTAGAAAATTAATTCCTGAATTAAGCTAAATTTGAGAATTTCCCTCGGTCCACTTTACATTGTTGTCCATGATTTTAAACAAATCAATTACATTTTTAACATTGAATTGTCTCCAGCATGCTATGACAAAGAGAGAAACAGATGCCAGCTAGTCAGACACAAAGCTTCTTCTAAAAACAGCAACGACAGTCATCTGTATTATGCTAGCTATGCCTCGCTACAGCTCCTTGCTAAAGTTAGCAGACAAGTTCAATCAAGAGTATACAGATGCTGCTTTAGTGGAAGTAAACAGTTGCATATGGAGAAAACCAACATACCACTCAATTCCTAGACACTCATTCATTCAACAAATATAAAGCACTCTCTTAATCACTCTGAGATTGCTTAAAATTTATTTCAATCTCATTTTACCCTACATCATTAATAAATGCTAAAATATTTAAAAATTGTATTTCAATTATATTTAAATCTATCTTAAACCTCATCTAGATTTTATTTCAATGATACAATGCAGACTTGAAACAACCAGTATATAATGTTCCTATATTGCTCCCTACTTTTACATTGTTACTAATATTCTCAGATTTTAAAGATGCTTCATTTTGCCTAGCCAGTTTAGCCCAGTGGATAGATTGTCAGCCTGTGGACTGAAGGGTCCCTGGTTCCATCCCAGTCAAGGACACATGCCTGGGGTATATCCCCATTGGTGGGCATGCAGGAGGCAGCCGATCAATTATTCTCTCTCATCACTGATTTTCCTACCTCTCTCCCCCTCTGCTTCCTCTCTGAAATAAATGATATATATAAATTTTAAAAATGAAATAAAATAAAGATGCTTCATTTCTGTGAGCCACCTAATTAAAATAGCCAAGGAAAACAGTAAAGGATTTGTGACCATTTTCTACTTTCCATAAATATATAACTTCTTTAGCCTTTCTTTTTCTACATAAATCTCTGCTTTCTGAATATAGCATAATTTTAAACATCTATTCTCTCTTTGGTTTAGGTTATGTTCACTTTGACTCTGCAAACCATAATAATTATTTGAAGTCAGAACGTTTCTCTTAAGTATTCACTGGTATAGTGCTGGGACACAGTGAACAAATACTAAAAAAATTTTTATTCACCACTGACTTCATTAAGAATTAATCCCGAACTTAAGGTTTTAAGAAATTTAAAATAATAAAAAGTCACAAAGTTAAATGATCTGCTGGCATATTTTAAAATGTTTTCCCCTTTGGTCTAAAGGAGTGGGTGGCAAACCATGGCCTGCAAGCCTAGTCTAGCTTCCCACCCATTTTGTATGGCTGTGGTTTTAACATTTTATATGGGGGACAAAGGGGGGATAATCAAAGAATATTCAAGAAATGTAAAAATTATAAAAATCCACATTTTTACAGAAGTTCATAACAGTTTTAATTGAACAGCCACACTTGTCTGTCTGGGTGTTGTCTACAGCTGCTTCTATACAACCCCAATGGCAGAGCTGAATAGCTACGTCAGAGAATACACAACTGCACAGTCTAAAGGGCCTTTACACAAAAAGTTTGCCAATACCTGGTCTAGAACAATGCAAATGTTTTTCAAAATATATTCTATATTTTAAGTGTTATATAGTAAATTTAAAGTAAACTATACAAATTCCTATGCCCATATTGTCTAATTCATGTAGTTTTGAATACAACTCATTTGGAAGTTCCTTGTCTGAAAACTAACTGAATTTCTGTCATCATGCCCTTGCATCTAACGTTAAACATGATTATCTGAGTGTGCCTATCAATGGATACAATGCAATGTGGGACAACAGTGCGTTTCTTCTCTGCCCAGAGAGCTAAATGGTTGCTTGTTCCCGGTCTAGTAGTGACAAATCAAAAGAAAGAATACCTTTAATGAAATAACTAATATTGATTATGTAGTAAAATAAAAATAAGAAACTGCCCTCAGACCCCACCAGTCCTGTTCTCTGAACTATGAGCCACATATAATCAGTGATAAGCCAATATCTATACTAACAATAGGGCAATATGCTAATTAGAGGGGGAGACCTTCCGGGAGACCTTCTGGAAAAGCCATGGTGGCGGGGCCACGGCAGAGGTGGTTAGGAGCGATCAGGCCAGGAAGGGAGGGCAGTTGGGGGTGATCAGGCTGGCAGGGAGGGTCAGTTGGGGGTGAGTAGGGCCGGCGGGGGATGGGAGAAATTGAAAGTTCGTGCAAGCAGGCCGGCAGTGGGGGGCAATTAGAGGATGATCAGGCTGGCAATTGGGGGTAAGCAGACCAGTGGAGGGAGCAGTTGAGATGAGCAGGCCAGTGGGGGGAGCAGTTGAGGTGAGCAGGCCAGTGGCGGGGAAGAAGGGGCAGTTGGGGGTGATCAGGCCCACAGAGATCGGGCCTAAACCAGCAGTCAGACATCTCCAAAGGGTCCTAGATTGGAGATGGTGCAGGCCAGACTGAGGGACACCCCTCACCATGCACAAATTTCGTGATCCGGGTCACTAGTTTCTACATAAAATAGTAGGTTCATGCCTTCTTCTATTTTCAGCATTATAAGGGACTTCTACTATATCTGAATTACACTCTACACATTTAAAACTGAATTCCTCACCCAAATAAAAAAGAAGCAGAGGTATAAAGAAAAGCCAATTCTAGCAGAAAATCCTGAGAAGAATATCTAGCAGAATATCCTAACTATGAATCAGGATAAGGATGAAGACAAGGAACATAAAAAACCAGTGAGTGAGGTGGTGATTCCTATGGAACATGCTGACCCTGAGATGTCTGTGGGCCTTCCAAACACAAGCCTCCAGTAAGCACTAGGATTATAAGGCCTTGGACTCTGGAGTAGCCTGTGCTGAATATAGATCTAAGAGTCAGCAGTGCAGAAGTGCTGCCTGAGGTCCTATGTGGGGAAGAGGCAGCCTGCAGAAAATGTATTCAGTCAGCAGAGTTGAGAACTGTCATAGGAATACAATTATACAAAGAACCGAGAAAGAAGAGACCCTAAATGAAAAAAAAAATGACAAAAAGATAGGAGGAAGAATTAAGGAGACTGTTTTTTCCAGCACCCTATGGAAGAGAGAGAAACTGAAGACTATAAACTTTGGAGAGGCAAATAAATACTTTAGGTTTAAAGTATTCCTAAATTCAGGTAATCAACATACTTCAAGTCTTGATTCCATAGTATATTTGTTTATCCACTCAATAAATAGTGATATCTGATGGAAAACTGCTTTCAATTAGGTAATGAATCCTATAATTGTAAACTTAACAAAAACTGAATGAAATTTTACGATTTCAACTGTCATTTTGCTAACAAATAAAATGTAAATGGCTTATAAACTACTTAAATGAAAGTGAGAGGCCACAAACACAAAGATGTTAAAATAAAAAAGTGAGCTGTATCCTGTTTTCTCAGTGGTTAGAGTATCGGCCCGCAGACTGAAGGGTTTCAGGTTCACTCTGGTCTAGGTAAGATACTTTGGTTGCAGGCTCGATCCCCAGCCCTGGTTGGGGAGTGTACGGAAGGCAACCAATTGATGTGTCTCTCTCACATCAATATTTCCCTCTCTGTCTGTCCCCCTCCCTTCCACTCTCTCTAAAAATCAATTAAAAAAAAAAATCCTTGAGTCAGGATAAACAACAACAAAAAAACCATCACCACCACCACAACAAAAATAACGAAATGAAAAAGGGTTAACTTTCAAATTCAAAAGTTATCTGCATGTGGTCTTTCACAGCTGACAGGAGCAGCTGTCTGGTTTGTGGAGACAGCTGTTCAGATTGAGAGTCACCATTTCCAGGCTACCAGCAAGTTTTCTACCTTTTCATTAACTGCTGGAGTGGGGGTCTACTCTCAGCCAAATGAGCAACATAAGATCTGAGCTTGGATCCATATCAAAACAATTTCTATCAGATGAGGAAGACAACAGAATTTTCAATTTAGTTACAATAATTTCTGATACTGACAGTTCTTTGAATTATTTATGCTTTAAAGAAAAAAGTAAAGCTAATGCTCAGTCTGAATCTTTCACAAAAACGCCTTAATTTATACACCCATGGATGAGTAACCTCGTTTCTAGAGGTTCTTAAATATATACAATATTTTAAATAGTTCAACCAAAAAAGGGGACATAGTTGTAACACTAGTACATAATATTTTTAAAACATGAAAAGGCAAGAAATTATAATTAATGGTTGGAACTAAGCAAAAATCTTTTTTTTTCTTTTTAATTGGTCTTTATTTGGGTCTTTGCCCTAGTCCTTAGCTCTGCCTAAATAATATGCTCATGCTATTTAAGCACACAGCCTCCAAAACACACACACACACTTTCCCCCCAGCTTCTGACTGTTATATTGTGGTTGTGGACAAACATGGGACATGTTGCTTACTTCTTTATATTTAGCACAAAAAAAAAAAAAAAAGCACCATTTAAAGATATAAATTCTACACAACAACACTAACTTCACTCACAACTGATAACTCATATATAAAAAATCCACAACTCTAGAGGAGTTCTCAAAATGTACTCCAGGGATACCTAAAGGTTCTTAAGACCTTGCCAGGTTATCTCGAAGGACAAAACTGTTTACCTACAGTACTCAGATAATAATTATCTTTTCCATCCTTACTGTCACACATGTACACAGTGGAGCTACCCCAAGGCTATATGTGGTAATACTGCAACCAACTGAACAGAAGCAAATAAGAGATTAGCTGTCTTGTATTAAATCTAACATTAGATACATTTGCAAAAAATGTATAATGCTACTCTTCTCATTTCTAATTAACTTTTTTATTTGTTCATTAAAATATTATGTCATGGTTCGTTGCTATTTTTAAATGAATTAATAAATTATGTTTTAAATTTTAGCTTGAATTTTTAATATGGTAAGTATTAACACATTGCAAACAGATCATGAGAATTCTCACTTCATATTACACAGTGTTTTACAAATTGTCATACTTTAAAAAGATATTAGCTTGTAAGAACATGTAATAACTTCAAAATGCAATGGACATTTCATTTTAAAGCATGCCTTTTCCATTTATGTAAAATGTTTTTGTACACGTTCAATAGAAACTCATTTGGCCACTGGGTAAAGCTAGCAATAAAACTACTGGTCCGCAATGTGTTAATATTACATCCCACATAAACAAAAGCTCTTTGAATCCTTAAAAAATTTTTAAGAGTGTAAAGGAGTCCTGAAACCAAAAATATTGAAAACTTCAGTTCTAGGATATAAGCCCTTCATAATTCTATATACTTTTATAAAATATCAAGAACATTTCTATTTCAGCAGAAAGATTGATTAGAAGAGAAGACTTTAGAGGACAAAAGCGATTTTTACCTAAAAAAAACTACAGACTCATACACTCGTTTAGTGGCCCTTCTGTGACCTTTGCCACTGGAGAGGAAAACCTTTCCAACTTACTGTAAAGAAAAGCTCCATGACTCTGCTGTCCAGAAGGGTCTCCCGCCAGGACTCCGTTGGCTTTAACAGCACATTTTGTGAGGATTCAAACATGGCTATATAATGTCTGCCCAGTTATCTGGTGTCAAGGTCAACAACAATAACATTCTTACTTTGTCTAAAGTATAAATATACCCGAAATATAACAGGAGCCATCCAGAAAGAATGTAATGGAAACAGTTTAAGCCTCTTCACATATGCTACATAATTCATGCATGAAGCTTAGGAATAAAAGGCATTAAGTGCTGGAAAAAAAAAGAATGCTATAGGAATGTAAGATAACAGTGTCAGGAATACAGAAATTTTGATGACCACAGATCTTAACGGTGGTAACACTAATGCAAAACAGATGCCAAAATATATACAAAAAGAGAGAAATCAATATATAGAATATGAATCTCACATAGTCTACTTGGAAAAATACTATTTCCCCCAAAGGCAATATATTTAAGAACAAACATACATTGCGTTGAAGAAGAAAAACTCCCACACCAGAGTATCAATTTCACACAAAGAAATAATTGGATCACATAAAACTCTATCAATGCTCATTTTAAAATCCCATGGACTAAAAATCAGTCTTAGGTGTTCAGGTGCTCCATATCAAACATACTTCTAAAAGAATACTTTTTTTGCCATACATAAGTCACCATAACATATTTACAAGAGTTTGTGAACATAACTCACTAAATGACACTGACATGATAACTGAAGTCTTTCAGAACTAGGGAAGACAGTAATTGCCTATCCTATAGCTCATCAAATGTCCAAATGAAATACACCCAGTGGGCTACGTTCTCATCATAGCATTATATATTGCAACAACAATTATCCAAAACTACAGCTTGTAAAATTTAGATGTAAGTTCAAAACTGCTATAGTTTTATTAAACCCCAAATCATTTACAGAGAACATTAAAAGCTGTGTCAATGTTTTGGAAACCATTTTTTTTAAAGATTACTGTTTAACCCTTTTTAAATCTCTAGTGTTATTTTATATCTAAAGAGAAGGGGAATAGTTGGTAGTAATTTCAGAAGAGAGTCAGATTGCTGGGTTTTGAAAAATCACTCCACTCAATGGATGAATAAAACTAAGACTCAAACCAGGTCCATCTCAGTTCCTCACCTGCCCCCTTGTGGAGATGTAGGGAGAATCCAAAGCCAAAAAAAGGTAACTGATGGAACTCAATAAAGCCAGCCTGAATTTAAGAGAACAGAAATAGCCAACAAATACTGTTTTTGGCCTTAGTTGGTTTGTCTCAGTAGATAGAACATCAGCCTTTGGAACGAAGGGTCCTGGGTTCGATTCCAATCAAGGGCACATGCCTGGGGTTGTGGACTCAATCCTCAGTAGGGGGCTTGCAGGAGGCAGCCAATCAATGATTCTCATCATTAATGTTTTTCTCTCTCTCTACCTCTCCCTTCCTCTCTGAAATCATAAAAGTATCTATTTTTAAAAAATTCTGTTTTTATTTTCAGTGTGCTAATCTTTTCTAAAATGATCTCATGTCTTCACTAGACATCTAAGGCTGTTAACAATATGATCTTCACTCATAATGTAACACCCTGATTGAATACAAGATCTTTCTACATGTGGCTTTGTTTTCCAGCTCAGAACCTGGAAGGAGTTTTCTCTGACACAAAGTCTACCTTCCATCAAGAAAGCTCATCTGTAGGGCACCTCACTCACAAAGAGTCATGCTGATTTTCTTTGAAGAACCACCACCCAACCTTATTATGAGCACTTCCATTAAAAATACCATGTTCTCATCATAAAAATGCAGAGCCCTAGCTAATGTGGCTCAATGGATAGAGCATCAGCCTGCAAAGGGTCCCGGTTTGATTCTGGTCAAGGGCATATCCCCAGTAGGGGGTATGAAGGAGGCAGCCAGTCAATTACCCTCTCTCATCCTTGGTGCTTTTATCTATCTCTCCCTCCCACATCCTCCCGGAAATGAATAAAAAATATTTTTATAAATAAATAAAAATGCACAGATTCTAATTTGTATAAGATACACCCAACATAACTTAACTACAAATATTATCTCTGTACTAAAAACCAAATAATTCTACCCAAAACATTTTAATAAAAACTTAAACATGAAAACACAAGAAAGAACAGTATTATAATGAATGGAACAAAAATTTTAAGAATACAATTCCAACAAGAAATGTGTTTTAGTTAGCAGATTGTGCAGGGAAACTGTTGAAGTTGCCTCTGAAGAGGAGACTAAGAGGTCTCTTCCGTGTTACCTGAAAGGTTACTATGAATATTGAGGTATTACTTTTCAACTTTAAAACTATTTCAAAGCATATTACAATGTGAACAGAATACTTAAAGACAGCCAAAGAATTAGCATAATACCACTCCTCCCACAGGTGATTCTTAATGTAGAATATTATTAAAATAAAACAAAAAGACTACCACTAAAACGCAGAAATCTAGGACTTCTTTTTTTGGGGGGTGTGGGGGGTGGTTGTCAAATGATCCTTAATAGAAATAATTTCCTTTGTAGTTCATAACTAGCTGGGCATTCCAATGCAGTCCCCAGAATCTCTCTAGCTAGCCATAAAAAAGAAGGAATTCTTATTTGCAGCAACCTGGATGGAATTGGAGAACATCATGCTGAGTGAAATAAGCCAGTCAATGAAAGAGAAACACCACATAACCTCACCCATTTATGGATAATAAAGAACATTATAAACTGATGAACCAAAAGATAGATATAGAGACAGTAAAGCAACAAGCAGACTGTCAAATTACAGCTGGGAGGTTGGGGAGATCTGGGGAAGATAAGAGATCAACCGAAGGACTTGTATACATGCATATAAGCACAACCAATGGACACAAAACTCTGGGGAGGAAGGGTATATATGGGGGGGGGGGGGGGAGGAGAGAGACAATGGTTAAGATATGTACACAGATAATAATTTAATAAAAAAAAATAAGGAAAAAAAAAAGAATTTCTCTAGCTAAAGATCAGTGCTGCATTGGTTGGGCAATGTTGACAATATCATCAGAAGTGATATTTTCACTGTGTTTAATGTTTTTTCACTTCTTTCTATCTCTTTGTGGTCCTTTGAGAGCTCTGATGATTAGGCGGAGGCAGAAGTACCACCTCAATCTGAGCCTATCTGTTCTGAATAGCCAGTTTCACTGTAATCCCCAGACCCTTCCAATCACTGGTTGCTTTGGCAATGTCATCACCAACCTTTCTTGGAGATGGATCCAGGGGCTGCTGTTGGGTGTGAGGGCAGACGTGGCACTGACTTCCCCACCAGTGTACCTCAAATATGTATTGGTCTCCTTAGAGTTGAACTTCAGCAGCATGGTGAAGGCAGCTGGTGTCGGATGAACCCAGATATGGGAGGACTGAAGAAAGTTGCGCCCAAGCCTCATCTGAGCTGAAAACCAAAAGCTAGTGCTTCCATCTTAAGAAAATACATTTTCTGCCGAAACCAGTTTGGCTCAGTGGATAGAGCGTTGGCTTGGGGACTGAAAGGTCCCAGGTTCGATTCCAGTCAAGGGTATGTACCTTGGTTGCAGGCACATCCCCAGTATGTGGTGTGCAAGAGGCAGCTGATCGATGATTCGCTCCCATCGATGTTTCTAACTCTATCTCTGTTCCTCTCTGTATAAAATCAACAAAATATATTTAAAAAAAAGAAAAAAAATACATTTTCAATGATTTAAAGTGTGAATAAAGCAATAGTTTATTTTAAGAATAGCTTTAAATAAAATAGTTTCCTTTTCAAATCTTTCACAAGTTTTAGTTTTATAGTACTACTTTGACATGTCATAATATCTGGACATTATATGGCTTTATCTTTTTTATCTACAGTAAATACTAGGGGGGGGGGTGTCCTTTAACCCAGGCTGCACCCTCTCCAATCTGGGTCCCCACGAGGGATGTCCGACTGCCCGTTTAGACCTGATCCCAAGGTAAGATATGGGACCACCTTGGGATCGGGTCTAAACAGGCAGTCAGACATCCCTCTCACAATCCAGGACTGCTGGCTCCCAACTGTTTGCCTGCCTGCCTACCTGCCCTGCCCGATTGCCCCTAACCACTTCTGCTGCCAGCCTGATCACGCCCTAACCACTCCCATGCCAGCCTGATTGACGCCTAACTGCTCCCCTACTGGCCCAATTGCCCCTAACTGCCCTCCTCTGCGGGCCTGGACCCCCCCCCCCCCCAAGCCCTCCCCTACTGGCATAGTTGCCCCCAACTAACCTCCCTTGCAGGCCTGTTCCCTCCCAACTGCCCTCCCCTGCTGGCCATCTTGTGGTGGCCATCTTGTGTCCACCTGGGGGCAGGATCTTTGACCACATGGGGGCGGCCATCTCGTGTGTTGGAATGATGCTCAATCTGCATATTACTCTTTTATTAGTAGGATAGAGGCCTGGTGCATGGGTGGGGGCCAGCTGGTTTGACCTGAACGGTGTCCCAGATCAGGGTGGGGGTTCTCTTAGGGCGTGGGGCAGCCTGGGCGAGGGGCCTGTGGTGGCTTGCAGGCCGGCCACACCCCGCAGCGACCCAAACAGAGGCCCTGGAATCTGGAACTTATTTACCTTCTACAATTGAAACTTTGTAGTCCGGAGCAGAGACAAACTCCCTGCTCACTATGGCTGCCGCCGTTTCTGTTTGGTTTAATGTATCTTCTATAATTGAAACTTTGTAGCCTTGAGAGCTCTGATGACTAGGTGGAGGCAGAAGTACTACCTCAATCTGAGCCTGTCTGTTCTGAACAGTCAGTTTCACTGTAATCCCCAGACCCCAGCCAGGGCAGGTGAAAAGCTTTGCTTCTTTCTTTGCCGGGGGCAACCCTAACCTGCTCTTTCCAACTCTGAGGCTGCCGCCATTTTTCTTGGGATTTATCTTCTATAATTGAAAATTTGTATAATTGAGTGGAGGCCGAGGCTGGCCAGAGTGTGTGGAAAGCTTGGCTTCCGTTGCTGGGGAAACCCAAGCCTCTCAACTGCTCTCTGTGGCTACAGCCATCTTGGATGAGGTTAATTTGAATACTCGCTCAGATTGGTTGGCGGCCGTGGCTTGAGCGGAGTGGTGGCTAAT